ATTTTGGGGTGTGAGGGGGGGTGAACTCTTGTTTGAAGCCGTGTCTGCGGCAAACTTCCGCAAACCGCCCCTGGAACTCGCCACCACCGTCGGTACGTGCGATATAAACCTCACACGGAACCCCTTTCGTTCGGTAGTCCGCCAGGAACTTCTTAAACCCAACCGCTGCGTCAGACTTGTATTTCAAGAAGAAAACACGCGTCCAACGGGAGAAATCGTCTCTGATGATCAGTGTGTACCAGTTGCCACCAATGCTCCTGGTTTTCATCTTTCCCCCCAAGTCGAGATACACGCGAAATAACTTCTGAACTGCGCGTGTGCTCGTGCTCTTCTGGACGGGTTTCACCTGTCCCTTGGACATCGAACAGCCAAGACAGGGTAGCAGCGGTCCATCCGTCAGCTGCACTCCCTGCTGCTCCGCCGTGATCCTGAGCAATGTCTCGTGGGCATGGCCGTACGCGAGGTGGTACTCGTTGAGGTCAGTGGGGTTGGCTACTTTCACATCGCCAGGAAAAATGAGTGCGGCACAGGCAGTGTGTAGCGTTGGCTTTCTTTGATAGCCTCGTTGGGTCAGCAGCTTTCCAGTCCGGGGGAACCACACCTCCCCCCCGGCTTTGGTGGTCAGCGTGAGGCCCCCCTGCATCCCCGAATACGTGTGGCCCTCCTCCGCCAACGAAGACAGCGAGAGGAGGTTGTAGGGGGCCTCTGGTACATGGGCAGCATTCAGTACTGGTACGGGTACGCCACCATCTTCGGTCTGTAGGACTGAGGTCACATCTCCGTATCCTAGAAGTGGAACAGGGGCCTTGTCGCCTCCGATCCCCTTCACCCAACCGCTACGCTCACGGTAGTTCACGAAGTTGTCTGCACATCGGAACATGGAGCACGTGGCCGCTGTGTCGGCCACGTACACCGCCTGGCCTTGTTCCACAACCTCCACTAGACCTACTTCACCAACGGTACCACACTCGCCTGGGGGGACTGCCAAGGCACAAAACGCCTGGTCTTCCACGGAGTCCACGTCGCTCTCATGCTCTACCACCTGCGCTAGGACGGCCTCCTCCGTCGCGCATATTTCTTTGGTGTGGCCCCACCACTCGCAGCGTGCACACCACGGCACGAAGTCCTTCTCGTTGGTAGTGCAGCCGATCGCTTGATGTCCACGATGTCCACACCTAAAGCACCGGCCCGGAAACTTAAAATCTCCGCCACCGCCGCCATCGGCGCCTCCATTTGCTTCCCTTGCTCTCCTCGACTCCTCCGGATCCGCCTGAGCAGCCGCCGCGACCGCCGCCGCCGCGGCCACGACTGCTGCTGCGGCCACGGCCGCCGCCACGACCACGACCTTGCCCCTGACCCCTACTTGGGTACCGCTCCCTGCGACCCTCACCGTCGGCGAAGTATGCTTGCTCTGTGCCCTTCGCCGCCTTTCCTTTCCCCTGCTCCAGCTTGTCCTTGATCAACTTGTATCCGATCATTACCTCCTATAGCACACCGGTCCGCGTCAACTCCTTCGCGTACCGCAGGTTGTGGTTCGTCATGGCATACTCGTCCGAAAGGGCATCCAGGAAGACGTGAAGGACGGACGTTTCGTTGACAGTTAGTCATTTCTTCGTTAAGGACTTTGCGGTTTGGAGCATCTCATTTAGGGCGTTTTGGGGATTTTCACCTCTGGAGATCTTGGTCGACGTCAGGGACTTGAGGTCCTCTGACGGCTGTACAGATGATTCAGGGTCGTGTATGGTCTTGAGCTCACGAAGAGCTCCCTGGGGCGTCTCTGCCCTCTTCATGATTTTCCGATCTTTTTCTTTCAACGCGTGAAACAGGACATTCCACACGTGGAATGCGAGCTTTACTTGCTCGCTCCGGTACTGCTGTAACAGCGAAAACTTGCTCGTTTCGCTGTTGACGGGGATCCCCAAGCTCCCGCTCTCTTCAAATTGTTCCAACAGGTTTGCGCCATTAGCTGCCATGCGGAAATCATTTGGCTATTCGTTGAAATCTTTCGATTTCTCGCTAAACGGACGAGAAGTGTACCGCACACTTTGGTACCCCGTCGCTGGGGTTGTGGCTCCGTATCCAAAGCCAACAGCAGCACCACCATCTCCCATGGCACTACTATAATCTTGGTTGTGAGCAGCGGCGACTCTCACCTCTTGGGGGACAAAGCCCCCTGCTCTGACGGGCCAGACTCTCGAACAGGTTCGTGCAGGTACCTCCCGTCCTGCGCACTCCCGGTCCACGGTGCTCCTCCTTCGGCGTTCGTGGACTCCGCGGCGGCTCCCTAGCATCGCCGCGATCAGCGGCACACTCCATGGTGCCAGCTGGCTCCTCCTACTTGCTTGCCGTCATGGTCTCTTCCACTAGCGACATAAGCTGGCTCATCTGATCCGTCAGCGAGCTATCTTGCGTCCTCAGGGCCACGAGCTCTTCTCTTGTCCTCTTTCTGTCTTCCGCCGCAGAGTCGCTGGAGGAGTCACCCCCATATTTGCGACCTGACATTCCTATTGGACTCTCCTTCGAGGGGCTGACACTAGTGTGTTCGTATATGTCCTTTACTTGGAAGGGGAAGACGTTTTATCTCTTGTATTAGACACGCAAGGGGAGTAGGGAGAAGTGAAGCCCTCTTCGGAGTTCGAGGGGTCCCCGCACATGCAACCATTTCAAGGTGTACATATGCCCCATCTGCGTGCCCTCTTGCCCGTAGATCGTACCAGTCCGTGTCCAAACACACGAGCATAGGTACTCCTCACAGCCCTCTCGATCTTCTGCCTAGCCAACACGGCCATATTGGTCAGCATTTTCCTCTCTACATCATAGTCGGACGACAACTTGAAAACCAAGTGGCTGCTCGCATCATCATCTGAAAAAGTCACGCCGTACGAGGCTGTAGTCAGTTTCGCAAAACGATAAACCTACCAAAGTACTCCTGAGGAGTCCTTTTTTCATCCCATTGCCATGATATTCTGATGAAAGGCGTGTTCGTTCTTCACGAGGAAAATTTTCCACCCACTACTTGGGCTACCATGTGAGATTATCTGCGTCAAGATTGGCAGGTAAGTCACTGTTGTTGTGATTAGCAAGTTCCACGCCGCTATCGCCTTGTTCACCTTTTGTTCCACGTACTTTCTCTTCAGGTCAGCCATGTCTACTCCATCTTTACCAACATGAAGTCCTCATCACTCATCATGACCTCATAAACACCTTCCTGTGCAAATATCGCAAGCAAGCATAATTGACTTCGAAATCAAGAGTTGGACCTGCTCATCCTCCCCTGGCTTGAAATTGCCGTCCCAAGGCTCTAGACTAGCCTCCTAGTCTCAGTCATGCGCAATGTCCCTACTTGCGGTACTCTACCGAAATCCCCGGATAACAAGGTTTTCGTGTGATTGAGAGGGAAGTTTCTGATTGAGAGCGAGATTGCGCGATGCGCTGTAGCTGGACTACCGCTGAGAGGTGGAGCTTGCTGCGTGGCTTGAATTGAAGGCCTAGCCCGTAGCTACAAGCCGATACCCTGGTCATCCTGTGGGCGTCTCTCGTTGTGGAGCTACAGCGGGGAGCAGAATCTACAGCAGAGCTCACCGCCCGCGATCAAATCGCCCTGAAACAGTTTGAAGCAGAAATAGCCAATCTGGGCAAATCTAGCAACTTGTCTAGCTCCTAGCTGCAGCATCCGATCGCGATGGCACGCATATGCTCGTGACGCTGCTGATGAGACCTTC